CTTGGTGAAAAAAATGGTGAAATGGTATAGGTTTAACGCCCCTATCCTATCAACACTATTAGGTTATTTAAGAGGCGGGACCTCCGAGTTTAACGTTCATCTCTGAAAGGACCGAGCCAAATGGGAAATTCGTGTAAAGTGCCTTTCCCAAGGACACAGCGTCGGACCGAGCTGAGGCTCAAGCTCCCGAACCCGCAATCTCACGATTACGAGTCCGGTAGCCTAACCACTAGGCCATAGTGGTGCTCGGTGAATGCATGAATAGTAATAGGAGGGATAAACAAGTAGCAATAGGAGGGATACACAAATAGTAATAGGGGGGATAAACAAATAGTAAAAGGAGGGATACACGAATAGTAAAAGGAGGGATAAACGAATAGTAATAGGGGGGATAAACGAATAGTAATAGGGGGGGATAAACGAATAGTAAAAGGAGGGATAAACGAATAGTAATAGGGGGGATAAACGAATAGTAATAGGGAGGGGGATAAACAAATAGTAACAGGAGGGATAAACGAATAGTAATAGGGGGGATAAACAAATAGTAAAAGGAGTGATAAACGAATAGTAAAAGGAGGGATAAACGAATAGTAATAGGGGGGATAAACGAATAGTAATAGGGGGGATAAACAAATAGTAACAGGAGGGATAAACGAATAGTAATAGGAGGGATAAACGAATAGTAATAGGGGGGATAAACAAATAGTAAAAGGAGGGATAAACGAATAGTAAAAGGAGGGATAAACGAATAGTAATAGGGGGGATAAACGAATAGTAATAGGGGGAATAAACAAATAGTAACAGGAGGGACAAACGAATAGTAACAGGAGGGATACACAACGTGTAATAGGAGGGATAAAAAAACAAGCCATCAGATAAAAGAAACTGATAGACAGACAGACATATATAGATAGATTGTGGAAATAAAAAGGTGTAAACCAAAAGTACTACATTATTTGTCTACCTGCGACTACACGACAATAAAACACAATAATGTTTATAACTAAAGAATTTAAAGAATCAGAAGAATTTCAATAACACAGAGTGATGGCAAAGATTTTAAGTAAACCTGAAATTATTTTTGAAGTTTACTCTTAGATACAAGCAGATATCATACAGAAAGACTAACCATAATTTATTTGCTTCACTGTAGTTAACCCCCCCCCCCCTTCTCTCTCTCTCTCTCTCTCTCTCCCTCTCTCTCTCTCTCTCTCTCTCTCTCTCTCTCTCTCTCTATCTCTATCTATCTCTCTCTCTCTCTATCTCTCTCTCTCTCTTTCTCTCCTCCCCCCCCCCAACCGAACCCAGTATGTAAAATTAAAACATTCTTCATCGACATACATCACAACAAATACAGGGGCCCCTCAAGGATGTGTTTTGTCACCAGTTTTATTCACACTATACACGAACGATTGCCAAATAAACAACAGTAACATCAAGTTGATAAAATTTGCAGATGATTCAACTATAATTGGGCTCATTCCGGCTGACCATAACGAAACCGCTTACCGGAATTTTGTACTTAACTTTTCTGAAAGGTGTGAAAATCATAAGCTGCTTTTAAATGTGAAAAAACCCCAAAAGAACTTGTCATTGATTTTAGAATAAAGAAACTGCCCCTGCAGCCACTCAAAATTAAATGTGAAAACATCGAGCAAGTGTCAGACTATAAGTATTTGGGTGTTATAATAGACAACAAACTCAACTGGCGTGTCCACACTTCTCTCCTGCATAAAAAAGTGAACAATAGACTATTTTTTCTCAGGAAGCTAAAGTATTTTAAAGTTGATAAAACATTGATGTCCATGTTCTACCATTCAACCATAGAAAGTATGATCAATTAACAGCATGAGCCGGGAACACAAGACAACAAGGTAAAGTAAAATTAAATCGACTAATACGGAAAGCATGTAAAATTTCAACATCTTCATTCTCCTACTTGGATGAATTGTACATAACAGCTTGCACTAAGAAAATTAATTCTATCTTTTTAGACTACAAACATCCCTTGTTCCCTCAAATAAAAACATCAGTCAGAAGTAAAAGACCTATGCTTCTGATCTGTAGCAAAGAAAGATACAGAAGGTCATTTTTACCATCATCTATCAAAATGCTTCCATCTTAACCATCTTGTATAAGGATACTTACGACCTTAGAGCATGCATCAAAATAACATTGAGTGTGTATCTAGCTTACGATTATTATTGTTTATATTTCTGCTCATTTATGTTATGCATGTGATTGTAAGCCTACTTGTGCGTGCATGTGTGTGCACATGTGTGCATGTGTGTACGTGTGTGTGTGTGTGTGTGTGTGTGTGTGTGTGTGTGTGTGTGTGTGTGTGTATGTGTGTGTGTGTGTGTGTGTACACGTGGTGGAACACCAAACCAATGTGCCAGGATCTGGACAATAAAGATGTATCTTATCTTATCTTATCTTATCTTATCTCTCTCTCTCTCTCTCCCTCTCAGTCGTTATCTCCTCTTTTGCTCTGTTAAAACACTTCCATGTACAGTATAAACAAAAATTCTTTGCAACAAGTTTTGCGCGGGACACATTGGGTTCTTCCGTACAATAGGACTTCTGAGTTAATGTTTACCTGTGTCTGACACCATCAATGTTATAGTAAACTGTTTCCTTACCACAATTTTTCCTACTGTGATCTTGACATTTTTGGCAAAGTGACTTAAATCAGAGAACAGTCTGATAAACTTACTCCAAATCTTATAATCAGTTTCAAATAATTGAATCCGATTTCTGTGTCAATTGAAATTCCATTTATGTATCTTTATCACAAATGGAAATTCTATTTCACGTCAATCACTAACCAAATATCGGAGCAAAAGTCTATCTTAGCAGCCAATGCTGTTCATAGCTGAACATTTGGCTGAACCGTTTCGTGCACTGCAAGATTTTTGCTGCTGTAAATTTTGTACCCCAAGTTTTTTTCAGCATCATTAACCTCCCTATAATTCTACTCTCGTTTATCAACGTATGTACACACACGTAGGCACCAAATTGAGAAGAAATAAAAAGCCCATGCAAAAAAAACACACATATATTATACATTTTAATTCAAGATAACATGGACTGGATGCAGTTTCGTAGATTGTTATTGTGACAATGCACAACTTAGTCACGTATTACACTAGCTCATCATTGATCTTTCAAGAATAATAGTTGGGCAGATGAAGAAGTTTAGTTTGACAGCTAAGCTAAGATCAAGATGTGGATGACTCGGGTTCGAATTTCGAATAGGGCGTTCTTGAACTCGCTTTGTTTGGAAAGCATTTTTAATTTCACAACCGCTTCAGTAAGTGCTACAGGACATGCAGTGTTGAAATTTGTGACATAAAACAACAACAAATCGTACCAACTTATAGATAGATACTTACATGTACAAAAACAAAACCCAGGAGGAAAAAGAAGCTGCTTTATACAGTTAGAATGGTATTCACCTACATTATGTACAATTACACAACTTTAAGAAAAAAAAATAACATAATTGTATTTTCATAAAATACCAGGGTAATAGTACCAAATAATGGCTGCTCTTTACAATACTAAGTAATAAAATGACATAATAACGAACAGTAAAAAAACAACCCAATCATATCACGAAAAGATATATGAGAATGCAATAAAATAATACTCATACTATAACATTATGCTAATCAAGTACGGTAACACTGCTACACGATGATGAAGGAAGGATACTACATAAGCAATATGTTAATAACACAAAGCAGTAACATAACATAAGCATATGGCAAATAAAAAAATGAAATTAGACTTTTCAATATCTTCTTAAGAAGACATAGAATCTAATCCAATCAGTCGCTTACTAGTTTCACCAGCCTTCAGAAAAAGTCCATAAGATATATTTTAGGGGGTGGAAGAAAGGGTCAGAATAATTTTTTGAGCAATTACAAATGTTGATGGGACACACTATGATACAACAGAATCGCAATTTGTGCATGAGCAGTTTCTTCAAAATAGAAAGGAAAAGGAGTGAATCTGCTATCCCAACCCCACCTCTACACTCACACACACACACACACACACACACACACACACACACACACACACACACACACACACACACACACACACACACACACACACACACACACACACAACACACACACACAACACACACACACAGAGCCACCACCACCACCACCACCACCACCCAAAAGTACATGTATGCCTGGGATAAAAGATACAAGTCACCAGAGGTACACAAAACATGGGGCATAAATATAGGTATGAAAAGATTTTAAAAACAAAACAAAGGAAGACCTTTCAATAAACCAGATGCTCAGGGCATTTACTTGAGTATCAAATTGACAACAACAAAAACAGTAGAAAGATCAAACATTAACTTATAAAGGACTCGAATTAAAATTGCGCATTAAAAAAATAGCAAACAAGGGGGGGAAAAGCAATTGTACCAGTATTTAATTATAATACCGTCCTTTTATATCATTGTTAAATTGATACCCTTTTTTCTAGTCCGTTCAAGACTATCTTATTCTTCAGAATACGTTTAGGTCTAGGTGTAAAAAGTTATATAAACATAATGTACGTATGCATCCAAAAGTGGAAGAATGGTGCGTAAACAGACAGTCTGTGCTATACAAGCGCTATCTATGATTACTACAGTGGAGTCCACTTATAACGAGTCCTGAAACAACCAGAGGTCTGTTATAAAGACACTATTCTAAAACCCCGTTTTCCCCCCTTCTTTATCTTTGTAAATAAAATACTGCCATAGCGCAATCGGACAAACACAGGAGTCGGTTATAGCGGAATATTGCTGCTGCTGTGCACCACGCACAGGCCAGTTATACATATAAACCTCGCCCGTTGAGAAACTTGTTGGTGATCTAGCGAAACCTAGGACCTTACATCAACTCCTTGAGCGAAACAAAGAATAGGAGAGCCCACGTTTGCCAACAATGAAGGTCAGACCGAATGAGTGGGGAGGGTGTGGTAAACGCAGACAAGCAGAACGCATCGTGTGATAGGCCAGCACTGGTCCTCTACGTCTCGTTATAACAGGATTCCACTGTAGTTCTATTATGCTTACGTCAGCCCGCCTCTGTGGTGTACAGCATGTCCACGTCTTCGTAAACATAACCATTGAAAATAGCTCTTAGAACACGAGCCGACATTTTCGTATGGTTTTGGTTGGGTTCTAGTAAGAGTGTTACAGCATCTGCGACACAGATAGGTCATAAATGTGTCGAAACTTAGAGATAAGTCAAAACAGTAGCATACAAAGTAAAGATGGAAGAGAGGTGAGGGTAATATTGTGTGTTTCATTTGAAAGTAGGAGCAAACCACACTAGAGCACTCGTCAACCTCCCACTTTTCGTATGGCCAAAGTATTCCAACTCACACTAACACAAAAATGTTGAACAAGGGCACAGCAGATCCGATCCTGTTGTGGTTACACAGAGCAGCCTAGTCACTCATCATTGTATACTGCACTCACCCAAAGACAGCTTATCCCACCACGAAAGTGAGTTAAGGAAACCCCTCTTAGTAAACGGGCCTTTACGAGAGCGAATATCATTTGCCATATCAAGGACTACCTGTCTTTGAAACGCCTGTACACCTGCATCCGGCTGTAGGTTTTCAAACAGCACGCATCTGTAGTCTACGCTTTTGAAGAGCTCCTCCAGCTTTCCCGTTTGTCGCATACACCACTGTTGAAATGCCCCAGGCCCTGAGCCACATTTTAATTCAAAATCACGGCCATGGGTGAAAAGCACTGCAGTCCGTTCCAGCATGTATTTAGCATAACCTTTCTTCGTCAAGTCCTGTACCACTCCGACCTCATCCCCAATATATTTACCTCCAAAGGGCAGAACCAGAAGGAACAAGTGTATTTCTTCTTCGGGGCAGCGAGACAGTGCTTGGTACACGTATTCCATGGCCAAGCGTACTTCCCCTGAAGTGTTGACGCGACCAGATGTGTCAGTGTTGTTCCTCATTCCTGGTGTGTCCACAATAGTGACTGTGTAGTTGTTGATCTTCTTTTCGTCCGAGTCAACGGCCTGAGTTGCTGAGCTTGCTGAATCCGGACAATAGAAGGGGGTATCGCCCACGATGCTGTTTCCAGTGGAACTTTTGCCATTGCCAGTCTTGCCCATCAAATAGATGTTGAGCTGTCTGCTCATAGTGGCAGTGCGGAGGGGCTGAGGAAGAAAAGTCCAGACCGTCTGATGTCGTTAACCAAAGGCGAACCCAGCGTTTGAGGAACTTGACAATACTTTTCTTCGGTCGCTTTTATCAACGGGTCAGAACTGATGTTAAAATGCGTTTCTTTCAACACCATACAATGGGTAAAATAGAAAAATATAGCCTACAAACGAAGAGATATGTTTTTTATTTTTAACTCTTTCACTACCGGGGGGGGGGGGGGGGGAGTGTCTTCACTTGGACCTGGCTCTATCTGTGACCTATTTTCTGATTCTGCCTACCGTCGGATAATTTACGCTGCAATTGATGAATAAGTAAATAGCCTAAGAAACCGTGTGAACGATGTCTAGGTTTGCTTTGTTTTTATTTGTTTTAGTCAAAGTTTGATGGCTCTTGCAACACTATAAGGTCATATATGTGCCGAATATAAGAAGTGTTGCAAAAGAGTAATAAACATAAAAAGGAGGTGAGATAAGGATGAGTGATATTTGATAGGGAAGCCAAATACACCAGAGCACCTGCCAATCATGCACTTTTAGTCTAATACATAAAGCTGTGTTTGAAAAACTGCTGTCTGAATAGTTTTGAAAAGAGTGTTGTTATACTGATAACTGTTCAGACACTACCAATGACCGTATTATGCTACATATAACAAGGCACAATGAATTCCATTTCATGCATCAACAGAACAAGGCCGAGAATTCATATTTGACGTGTTTCAATGCCTTGACACTGTGGTGTGTTCGTTAACCCAAACACGAATGTTATGGGAAAATGTATCAATGTAACCAGACCTTGCTGGCTTCAGCTCTGATTAGAACTACACTGGAATCCGCTTAAACCGAAATCTGGGGAACCGCCAACGTTTTCGTTTCCGAGAGATTTTTCAAATAGCGAAAAATAAAACAAAATAATTTCTTTACAAATCGGGTTCACTTGGGTTCGTTTTCAGGAATAACTGTGTTCTGTTTGAGCGGATTCCACTGCACGTGTACTACATAATCACATGGATTCGATTCCACGATGTTCCACTCAGCTGGCCTAGTCCTTGACCGTTAAGTCGAAGTTCCTATGTCTAAAAATGATCTGACTGTGTAGACATCGGGGGTAAAAACACAACGTTTTCATAACAATAACAGATTGATATTAATAATAATAATAATAATAATAATAATAATAATAATAATAATAATAATAATAATAATAGACAGCATTTGTATAGCGCTGAAAAGCAAGCTCTATGAGCTTCACAATCTATACTATTACCCCAAGAGACCTCAGGGCATTCTGAAACAACCTCAACTTCCTGGGAAGTATACAGTTCGAGTGGCCATTTATTATAGGCGTTAAAACACTAACATACCGACAAGATCTTTTTCCTGTTTATGGCCGGTACCCATTCCCACTTGGGTGAAGTGAGGAAAAATTCGTGTAAAGTGCCTTTCCCAAGGACACAACGTCGGGCCCGCGGCTCGAACCACCAGAACCCACAACTTCACGATTGCGAGTCTGGTGGCCTGACCACTAGGCCACCGACGCCAAAGATTACAATCATAGATGTAAGAACACTTTCGGACATGCAAAATGATGGTGTCGATTTACAAAATGAATCTGGATCAATATCTATACAGTGGGCCCCGGCTATAGATACATAACATAACCGCCGGGACAGACATGATACCCCTGTTATTGCCGAACTTTGTTATAGACGAGGATAACTTTTACATACGCTGTAACTGATTATTAACACATAGAATAGTTTGTATTGCACAGATTGTCCACTACCATTCCATCAGTTGTTTCTGTTTCTCCTTTCTTTTCTGTTGGCATTATTTGCTCCTCATCCGTATCTTTCTTTTTTTCTACTACGTGTACTCTAGTCTCATTGAAGTTCACTAAACATCATTTTAGACGCACAGGAAGCCTGATGAAAAAAAATAATTACATTAATTTAACGCACACTATTATGCATGCTGAACAGCAGGCTCTATGCGCTTTACAACTACATGTATTCGTAATCAATAAACAGTTACGGCAGTTGGAAAAAGGAACACTCATGATTCTGCAGTAGATCAAGCGCCCAGTGCTTACTTTTCGTGGGTGGTTGGCGAGTGCTCTGGTGTGGCTTGCTCCTTCTTTCCTATCAAACATCTATCGTCCTTATCTCCCCTTCTTCTTTTTTATGTTTGTTACTCTCCTGTAACACCTCTAATCCGCTGGTGCTCATATGACCTTATGCAGTTGCGAGTGCGTAAAACTCTTACTAAAACTAAACTAAAACTAAAAGCTTACTTTTCAATCATGTTCCCCTTACAAGTATCGCCACCCCGCGGGGAGACAACGAGAAATGTAACGATGTGGTGTTAGACCGAGGTCACGTTCAGATACTCTAGTCACTGATTTTGTTTGTTTTTGTAAAGTGTTTTACGGCGCTCGCAACTGCATAAGGTCATATGAGCGCGCGGGACACACCTAATATTTTCAGTTAGTAGGACATTTTGAATTTTGCCCGGGTGGCGGCCGAAGCCTACTCTTATCGAGTTTAGACCACCAAGGGATCTTTAATGTGCGCAACTTGCACACGGGCCCTCCGAGATTTTTTCGCCCTTGTCCGAGAAGGCTAGGTGTAGATCTTTCCCTACCAGAAGATCAGGGGTGTGGCAGAAAGACAGCAGTAAGGAGGAGCCAAGGAGTAACAGTAGAAAGGCTGCAGAAAGAGTCAGGAGCCCAGAGGAGGGTGCAAAGGAGGTGAGGGGGTGGGGGCAGAAAGTGGAAATGAAAGCAGACAACAGAACATTGCTAGAGAGCAGGAAAGGAGGTGAAAGGAGACAATTTTAGAGAAGAAAATGTTTCGGTCGCTACCCGGATTCGAACCCGGGACCTTTGAATGAGAGGCCAACACCTTAATCTCTAGGCCACGAGAGCCCCCAGTCACTGATTTGAAATCTAGATTAACACCAAAGTGCAATAAGCTCACCCCTTCCCTATATACATGGTATGACAGTTCATAAAGTATGTACACAATCTGCAGCATCGGCTTATACACCCGCCCCCCCCCCCCTTAGGCGGTGCTACTCACTGAAGTGTCTTTAGGCTATTTCCAAAGTGAGGGACATTAACATCTCGAGTTCTTTTGCACAGAAGAATTGTAATCGTAAATGGGCTAATTCATCAATGCCATGCTCATAACTGGCTGATCTGCAACAGGGAACTGCTTCTTTTTCTATCCTAATCCTTACTATAGTCATTTTCCTTTACTTCTTTTATAATATAAATGCATATTATGTTGGTCACACTCTTGGGACCCGCTATTTCCGCGGTGCCTTGATAGTGGAAGCAGACTTTGTGCTGTTGAAACTAGAGAGGTGAGTAGAGTAAGACTGATTCCCAGTAACGACTTCTCTGTTGACATCCACCCCTTGGCGCTCATATGACCTTATGCAGCTGCGAACGCCGTAAAACCTCTACTTAAACTAAAACAAAGCATCGGATAAGGCCTCTTGTGGGTCAAGTAGTTACAGTACGCCATAGAGGTGGTTTTGCTTTATTCATTTTCTTTCTGCTTCTTTGTACGTTTGTTTTAGGATTTTGCCAAAGGTTGGACCACTGTTATAGCCGAGCACGCCTATTTCGAATGGCTGCTAAAAACAAAGGTATTAAAATTATACATCATAACAGCTCAGGTTAGGAGAACTATTTAAAGTCTGCCACACCCTAAATCTTGTTATTACCGAGACTGTAACTAGTGGGGTCCATTGTATACCGTCGACTTACATAATATTGGGTTATTTGTAACGTACATGATAAGTACTATTTTACAAAAAACATGTAGAAAAACATGGTGAACTCACTATGAGAAAAGAATTAATTTTTTTTCTTTAGCAGCTGATGGAGTAGGAGGAGAAGAATCCACAAAACAGAGCTTATTGGTTGTTAATTCCATCTGGCCTTATGCATGTTGACATCTGCGTCGGGAACAATGGGGGTTCTTCAAAATGGGAAAAGCTGTCTGCACATAGATATCAGCATAAGATAGAAGATTATACGAGTACATGTCAACATAAAACAAAAGAAAAGCCTTATTAATAATAATATTATTGTGCATTAGGTCTTCACAAACATTTATTGCTTATGAGACTGAGATAAAGTTGCCTATCTATGGACCAGCGAGTCAAAGTACTTCACAAAGCTGTTTAAAATCGCATGTGTTTTCGTTATAATATAAAAGTCCAATTTCTTATCAAAAATTACAATGGGACATTCGTAAAGCCAAAATTCAGGATTAACTAGGAAGAATGGAACCCCGGTTTCTACTGGCTCTCTACAGCTGTTTGGAAGTCGCCTTTGATAGGATTAGGTTTTATTTCTTGATTACTGATATTACCCTCTTGCTATGCTGTCTTACTTTTTACAGGCTACAAATGACCGTTGCAGTACCGCCCCCCCCTCCCCTCTCCCAGGCAATCAAAGATCTTGTCAAGAAGGACGGTTGTTCTTCTTTTTTCCCTCTGTTCTTTCTGCCTCTGTTTCGCTTTACTCCTGTACTAATGCTTATGGCTGTTCTCATGCCTACACAGTGCTTCTTTTTACCTAACTCAAACCTCCGGAATGCTACTACATGTCCAATGTATAATTGATACTGCTTACTAACATTCGCTGTCAACAGATTATGTGATTCTTCTTTTGCTTGGTTGACATCTCCAGAAAAAACAGCAATCCGCTTTTCGTTCCAATCAAAGTGACTGAGTACATTATAAAGTCAGACTGGAATAATATGTTTTGTATACGAGAGCTCATTCATAATGTTTGTATTGAACACTTGAACGGGCCTTTTTCAGAAGATATTATGAAGGGAAACGTCAGCAGTGGCCTGAGAACACCGATACTAAAAACAGAAGTAATAAAGAAAAAGTACGGCAAGAAAAACAAAAAGGCGACCGACACCAATATGAACAGAAGATGATTTGTAGAAATCCACGACCCTCTTCCCATCTTAAACATTCAGTGACAACAAAAGAGATTGTCGAAGAAGCGTCGTCTTTTTTAAGTCTGCAGCGGTGAATTTCTTGGTCATCGTCGAGACAGTTTCGAGTAGTTTCCCCCTTTGTTCAGCAGCTGTTTCTGCAGTGCAGGTTACGTTATCAAACAGAAAATATCTGCCTTGACACATGTCAAACAGTTTTCTCATATCGGCCATTTGGGAGACCACCCAGTCCTCAAAAGGAGTGGATCCATGTTTCAGTCGATAGTATGCTCCGTAAGTGAATACGACAATGACATGTTTAGCAAAGAACCCTGGGTCAAAAGTCTCTAAATAATGGAGTACTTTTTGTTCACTATCAGTTAAACAAAAAGGAGCTCTGTAACGAAAAACTATAACAAAGGCATTGATGCCGTCAGCGCTGATGTTGATAGCCTTTTCAATGAAGTCAAACATCATTATTGTGTCTTGTACATCATCTGCAGGACAAGTGTTGAAAAGTCCGGGAGAGTCAATGACGTCTACTTCACTGACACCATCAGCTGAAGTACAGCTGCCAGTCTTGAATACGTCAGCAGTGTTTGCTGAGTCCGTAGGATTGGTGCTTCTGTTGAGGATATTCGAAGCTGTGGCTGTCTTCCCATCGCCAACTTTCCCGAGAAGCATTATGGTTGAGGGCTTTTTGGAGAGAAACCGATCTGAAACATCAGAAGTCAATACACATCTCACCTACGCTTTATCTACGGTGTTGGAGTGACAGGCTGTTACAAAGAATACACAAATAAATCCTGACGGGACCAACTGGACTTGAACAATTTACAAATTATAGAGTAGAGAGTAGAGAGTAGAGAGGAACATTAGTGCCGGTGATAAACTATTTTTCAACCCAAAGTTGACTGCAAAATTCCGAAATCATTACTGTAACTTAACATTACGTTGTTGTGAATTTAAAACAAGATTGTGTGTGTGTGTGTGTGTGTGTGTGTGTGTGTGTGTGTGTGTGTGTGTGTGTGTGTGTGTGTGTGTGTGTGTGTGTGTCTGAGGTGTGTGTGTGTGTGTGTGTGTAAATGTACTGCCCTTTGTTGCAAAGTTTTTAGCCAAATTAAGAATTTGTGTGAGTGTGTGCGAGGGGCCGGGATGAGTGTGTGTGTGGGGAAGGGGGGGGGGGGGGTACAGAGTACACGACTTTGAAACAAATAACACTAGAGAGTAGAATCTATATTATCTCGGATGAAATCGTCAGAAGGATAAACAGCCCAATAATTCCGTGACGTAATTATCAAACACACATCATTTCTCGGTTTGGCCGTAGTTACTATTCTGTATTGTTTTACTCCAGTGCTCTTGGGGCTAACGTTGAAAAAAAAGTTGAAATCTTGTCTAAATTAAACATATTTTTCTTGTGTCCAGATTGTGCCCCCAAAAAAATAAAAATTGGTATCAAACTCAACATAATTTTGTAATGTGGCACAGACCGTGGCCACGCACAGACTCAAACATGGGAAGCAAAGACCGGAAGAAAGCTTCCTGAATTTTATGAAAGATCTGAATATAATAATTATGGACTTTGAGTACCTGCACAGTGATGATCTTTTGGAGGACAACATCATTGATGGAGTCAAAGACAAAAGAACTTCAGGAGAAACTTTTAGATAGAGGGAACAACTAACTTTACAGAAAGCTTCGGAAATTGGGCAACAATTCGAGCACTCACAAACTCGGATAAAGATGAGGCGTGATGAACAAAGCAGTGCTGTCGCACAAGTAAAGACAAAGTTTGAAAAGTAAATGCAGACAAAGTTTAGATCTAGATCTAGTCATAAACAGTGTTCAAGATGTGGCAAGGGTAGCACATGTGGTCATTGTTGTGCCAAAGCTACAAAAGGCACCTACTGTGGTAAACAAGGGCGTCGGAAGCCTATGTGTAGGTTCAGACAGAAATCAGTTCATAGAATTGAAGAAAGTGACACAGAACTAGAACTTTCTTGAAGTACAGTCACTAAACACAGAACTGAAATCAAACAAAATAGGACAGATGGATAGAAACTCTGCAAATAGGAATGAAGAAAATTCCATTCCGAGTTGATACCGGTGCTAAATGCAATATCATCCAGTGGGACCACTATAAACACTTACAAGAAGAGCAAAGGTTGTACAGCAGCAAAAAGGTGGCGAAAACATTTTCAAACAACATAATCAAACCAGTGGGAGCCACAGAGATGACCGGCAAGAGGAGACACACCACACGATATATACAGTTCCAAATAGTCAACGTTGAGGGAGTGAAAACATTCCGTCAGGAGATGATGCAGAAGCACTGGGCATTATCAACAAGGTTCATACACTGAAAGAGAAAAGCAAGACAGCTTTGGAAGATTCCCTGAACTGTTAGAAACTACAGGTGTACTACCAGGTGATTATGATATCAAACTAGATGAGCATGCTAAAGGAGTTATTCATCCGTGAAGCTCTGAACATGAAACTCAAAGAAACTTCGAAAGAGGTGGAAAAGAGGGACAAGTAGAAACTGTTAATGAACCTATTGAGTGGGTCAGTTCCATGGTTGTCCGGGTGAAGAAGGACAAGGTCAGAATTTGCCTAGATCCAAGAGATTTAAAACAAGTCATCAAGAGGATACATCACCCTATGAGGACTGTGGATGATATCGTCAAAGAAATTGGTGGAGCTACAGTTTTCCCAAAGTTAGATGCCAAAAGTGGGTTTCCACAAATAAAACTGGACAATCAATCCTCACAACTGACAAATTTCAATATTCCTTTTGGAAGATACAAGTGGTTGAGATTACCATTTGGACTGAAATGCAGTCCAGAGATATTTCAGAGAGTTATGGGTGACATGCTATAGTGCATAAATGAAGCCTCCGCAGTTATTGACGACATACTTGTCCCAGGAAGAGACATGAAAAAGCATGACAAAATCCTGAAACAAGTCTTGAAAAGGGCTACAGAATATATTCTCAAACTGAATCTCTACAAGCTAGACGCCAGGAAGTCTTCAGTCAAGTATTGTGGGCACGTTATCTGTGCACAAGGACTAAAACCAGACCCTGAGAAAATAGAGGCAGTGATGGAAATGCCTAGACCAGAAAACAAAGAAAGTCTGAGGAGATTTCTTGGTTTTGTCAACTATTTGGAACAATTCATAACCAATCTCACCAAAGTAGACGAACCACTGAGAGCACTGTTAGACATTGGAGCTGTACTCTTACAAGAAAACAAACCGGTTGCATACTCATCAAGAGCATTGACTCTATTGACAGAAACAGAGACGAGATATGGTCAGATAGAGAAAGAAATGTTGGCAGGGAAGATACTGGTTTACACAGATCACAAACCACTAGAGCAAATTTTCAAGAAACCATTGGCAGCAGCACCTATGAGACTTCAACATATGCTTCTAGCCATACAGTGGTCAATAACAAGGGTTTGAAGATAGTTGTACCCAAAAGCTTAAAGAAAGACATGCTCAAACTTATCCACATGAATCACTTAGAATCATAAAGTGCAAGCAGAGAGCAAGAGAGGTGTTCTACTGGCCCTCAATAAACTTTGACATTGAAGAAACAATCAGAAACTGTGAGAAGTGTGCTGAGTTTCCAAACAAATAGACCTCTGAACCACTGAAACCAACACTGTTGCCAGAATTTCCATTCGCAGAGACATCAGTTGACATTATATTGAATTTCAGTAGCATCAGTATCTTAATACAGTGGCCTATTATTCAAGATTCATACAAAGAGAGACACAGAGCAATCTGAGAAATGGTACGGTCATAGAGACACTCAAACATCAGTTCAGTGTACATGGGATTCCAGTAAAAATCAAGTCAGATTCCGGAAATCAATTCACTTCACAAGACTTTCAACATTTCTGCAAAGATTATGGGATAGGTCAAGAGTTGACATCACCTCACTATCAAAGTGCCAATGAAATGGCTGAAAGAGGTGTGCATATACTGAAGAAAATATGGAGCAAAAGCAAAGACAATTATTCGTTAGCAACTCAACACCCAAGGAAGGCTTCAACCTGTCACCTGCACAACTTCTAATTGGTCGTCGGAGTGGCAATCGCAGTAACCTATGAATAAAATAGTCAGACACACCCAAACACCTTCTTTGATTCCAAACGTACTGACCACGTCTCTCCTGCTTTCGAATATGTCAAGGAAGTCAAGAACAGAAATGAGAGAAGTTATAAGTACAAGTAGTATTTGGGCAATCTATTCCCTCTCTGGTACCGCCCAGGCAATTCTGTATCTTTCCTAAGATCGTCTGTCAAGACGCCAAGGGCAACAAGTATAAGGGACAAAAAGAAAAGAACGGGTGGGTCGAAATTCAAATTGTGGGACGAAAATGACAGACACAGACGGACGCTCTATTGAATTTGTGCGACTGTGAGCCTGTGTGGAAACACGATAGCCTTCTAAAAACTGGTGACATTTTAACTTGTCTTTACATGAGCCCTGGTACATACCACAAGAAATGTGGTCTGTCCTCACAACACCCATTCCTTTCAGTCTGACGCTTTTCAACACAGAAAAAAAATCCCTTTACCAAAATTGCAGCGATACGCACAAAATCTAAACATTCAAAATGTTTTGACGGGTTTAAATAACTGCTACTGAGAAAGTAAGATAACAAGATACATGTTTGAGTTACATATGAATCAAAATACGAGATGCGCATAGTCTGTGATATAATAGTAGGAGAATCATGTCACCTGTAGCTTGGCTTCCAAGAGGGAAGTCTCTTTAGCTCGAACTGAAGTTTGACCCCATAGTTGTCGGGTTTGATAATTTCGCCACTTTCAATATGTACGTATATACAAATATTATTATTATGTGTGTGTGTATGTGTGTGTGTGTGTGTATGTGCGTGTTCGTATGCATGTGTGCGTGTGTGTGTATGTGTGTGTGTGTGTGTGTGCGTGTGTGTGTGTGTGTATGTGTGTGTGCGTGTGTGTGTGTGTGTGTGTGTGTGTGTGTGTGTGTGTATGCGTGTGTGTGTGCGGGTGCGAGTGTGCGTGTGCCCTGCGCGCATGTGCCCTGCGCGCATGTGCCCTGCGCGGGTGCATTTTATAGTACAAAATCATTTCTGAACAACCTGTTAAAATTTTTTTTAGATAGCTTCAGCATTTGTGAGATCATGTTAATATTGCCAGGTAAGGCGAAGAAACAAAGTTTTGAGAAAAATGGCTTTAAAGTTTCCATTAGATCTGGATATAATATAGGAGCATAATATATTATATTAAACATTTGTGCCTACACATGAACAGGAAGACGGGCCTATCAATCAGACTAATTAACAGAAAGTATTTAATTGATCATATTGCGAACTGCCTAAAAGGTAAGCTTAAGTGACGAGAATTTTGAAAAACAGATACAAACGCCATCTCTTTGATTTCAGTGACACCTCGTATTTCTTAAGCTTTTACATCTTGACAAGCCAGGACGACAGACAGAATCCAAACAACGCTAGAAATAGTAAATAAAGAAAATTATAGCAAATGCCAACAAACAGAGCATGACACAGATGGCGAGACAAAGCATTGAAAACCATGACGAACTACGTATAAATCTTGGGACAAAATCCTTCCAAGACGCCCCAAGATCCGACAAATGTTTATCGCGCTGAGGCTTTGTCTTCTCGTAGTTTTCCGTTGTAAATTTCTTCGTCATCCTCGAGACAGTTTCGAGTAGTTTCCCCCTTTGTTCAGCATCTGTTTCTGCAGTGCAGGTTACGTTATCAAACAGCAAACATCTGCCTTGACACATGTCAAACAGTTTTCTCAAATCGGCCATTTGGGAGACCACCCAATCCTCAAAAGGAGCGGATCCATGTTTCAGTCGATAGTCTCCTCCGTTAGTGAATATGACAATGACATGGTTGGCAAAGAACTTTTGTCCAAAAGCCTGCTCTAAATTACGGACTACTTTTTGCTCGTCATCAGTATAACGAGTACCGAAGCGAAAAACTATGACAAAGGCGTTGATGCCCTCAGCGTTGATGTTCACAGCCTTTTCAATGTGGTCAAACATCCTTGTTGTGTCTTGTACATCATCAACGGGGTAGGTCTTGAAAAGTCCGGGAGAGTCAATGACGTCTACTTTACTGACACCATCAGCTGAGGTACAGCTGCCAGTCTTGAATACGTCTGTGGTTGTTTCGTCCATGCTATAACTGAAGCGTCTCTGAATGATACTTGAAGCTGTGGCTGTCTTCCCGTGGCCAACTTTCCCGAGAAGCATTATCGTTGAGGCCCAGGGCATCGTGATAATAGACATCTGAAACATCCAGAAGTCAATATTCTAGCTACGGCGTTGTATTGGCGAGATGATAGAGAGGGTACACTAATAAATTCTGAGGGGACCCACAGGAATTGCCCAATCTAGTTAGAGTACTTATTTACTCGGAGTTGCCCTGGTTTGCTGCCTATAGTAGTGTGCAAAATTTTTGAGAGTTGCATTATGATAATGAGTTTGATGTCTGAAGTCCCGATAACTGCAACATCCAGGATTCAAATTTTCCCAGGTTGCAGGTGTGAGATTTGCAAAATTATCCCCCGAAAACAGTACAGTGTGGGAGTGGACTGTGAAGACTGGGGCCGCAGCAAGAGCATTATCCATAAATAGACAGCAAGAGAAAACGGCAGTCACACGTTCTATTACATTAGGGTGCTCAATGACACTATAATTTTACATAACGTAACATTTTAGAGGGGAAATGGGCATGATAAAAGTAGAACAAGAAGAGACAACATTTTATAATATTATATAAACAACCCCCCCCCCCCCAAATGTCTCGAAATCACCAAAATGTGACTCCATCGTTACTACCACTCCCCCCCCCTCCCTTCCCCCCCCCCCCCCCCAACCCCGGCTGTATCCGTCCCTCCGAAACAAAGCAGTCTTCATTTGGACAACCAATTATTTTCCGCTGTGGCGTGGGATGAAAATAGTGTCGCTATTTTTGACATTAAATTCCGTATTCACACAAGAGATTTAACTCCAAATCTCCAAAGTGATGGGATACAGCTGAAAGAAAGTTGAGCTATAAGCCCGGGATTGAAGTACATGGAGAGCTCTTGGTCGAGGCCCATACTCCAGTACAGGTTGAGAGAGGCTACTTTTGTAGCAGCTGCTGTTTATGATAATGATGATGATGATGATGATGATGATGATGATGATGATGATGATGATGATGATGATGATGATGATGATGATGATGATGATGATAATGATGAAGTGATCCTTTGCAATGATACGACAAGATATAGGAAAAGGTTCAGCCGACACCTCCATTCTTAAGATAAGTTACCATCATCGTGCAGGACGTCATTGATACCGCCACGCTGGACCCGCAGACAGTGGAGACCCCGGGTGTGCATAGTAAATCAAGCAGGTTGGGGGGGGGGGGGGGGCTACACTCCCAAAGTCAAAATTCGGCTCAAAATTATGGAATTTGAGCTGTAGGCATTTTTAGCTTCCTCAGCTTCTCCTACAACTATTTCATCGCATACGAACCCCTAAAACCGTATTTTTTCCCATACCAGGCATGTTTATCACCGACGTTTCCTCATAAAGTCAGTATTCTATTTTTCTTTATCGGCCGTTTTTTCAAAACGCGACTTTTTGCTCTATACTTTTTTGAATATCTCCACCATTTTTCATACAATCTTCATGAAATTTTCACAGAATGAAGAAAAGATTTAAAACTAAATATTTGTCTGCTGAATTTTTTTATATATATAATGGATTTTTGTTGGTGGTGTCTGGAGTGTGGATTTTCCCGGATATTTTGCAAACTTGAATGCTACCTCAGGAAAAAATTCATAAAAAATTTTCTAATTCGTTTAGGAAAAAAACAACAGACAAATTTTTAAATCTAATGTTTGTGAACATGCATACAAAAAAACCCAAAAAACAAACAATCAATTTCCATGAGTGATGAGTGCGATATTCATTACGTAAGACATGTCAACAAAATCCAATATGGCCACCGTATCCATGGAAACAAATTTGTTTTTCTCAAATTTGATAGCAGATTTCAAAACTCCTTACTATGCTAGTTAAATGTGCGAAATTTTGTCAAATTCGGTCCAGTAATAAGCGAGATAGCCTTCAGGTGTAGCCCTCCCCCTTAAAAAATTGAGACTTCAATATGACCAAAATTGTTACTGCATTATTATTTCACTCTAAAGTATGAAAATGTCATACACATTCAAATTTTCTTTTTGTATCAGAGTGAGTCAGGCCGATAAGGTAAAATAAGCAGTTCACTGGTTCAGGACAACTGTTTCTATATTTCAGTTTACTTCAGAATGCTCTTGATACAGAATTTGAAGAAAAAAAAGAAGTTAACGCGATAGAAAATAAGTATAGGCTATGTATAGATCTAATGGTTAGGATAACACTGAACCTTTTCCTATGTTCTGATTTTGAGGGGAAAAATGATTGCTCTAAAAAACAGGCAGGATGAGGCATGGCGAGATCTCCAGAATCCCAGTGGATGACGAGCTCAGGTTTGAACGTATGCTATTGTACAGAGACATTTTTTTCTTTTTTGAGAGTTCTTGAAATCATTCGTAGGTCCCAAATGCGAGGTAGGACCCAAATGCGTGTCAACTTGCCAATCACGTTGCAAATTTGCTGGCAACATCCGGTTTCAAACACAACCTTTTAGCATTCTACCGCTTTCCTCTCGAACGTGCAAAGCGACGCTGCTTTGCAATGACGTCATGCCAATTGTGCATCACCTGTCTCCTTCTTAGCACACCTTATTATATTATAGTGGAGTCAAAACTTCGAGGCGAAACTTATTGTCAAAAATCTCTCCAACTGTAGAACATAGACTCTCCAACCTTTGCATAATGACATATACAAGTATCAATTTGTCTTAACAGATGAATATTTTTAAACCACCTGAGCATTGTATTCTAGAAAATCCCTAACTAAACACTAATAAATAAATTCCAGTCGATATTTTCTACAGATTTTAAAAGGCGTACATCCTGTGAGCTGGGACAATAACACTTTTAAAAAGCAAGTTCGTTTCACTTCTTCTTATCGCGACATTATGCGGATGGAACTCATGTTTTGAGAACATTTAGTACAATTGATAATGCGGAACAAAACTTATTTTTTTACTCCGTTTTTGCGACCATGGATGATAACATTTTACCATTGTTTAAACCAAAACGCACTGGCACCATCGCATTGCTACTGAAGAGGAGAGTGGGTTATACTGTCCTTCACCTCTTTTACTCGTAAGTGTTGTAGTAATATACTCAGAGGCAAAAGAAACGCGAAATTTTCATGGTAGATAAGACTAGGCGTGCACCGGGCATGTTTAGATGCGCACTAGTTGCTGTCTCCGGCATCTTATTTATTTCTACAGCGCGCGCACAGAGCTAAGCTACAGTAGTAGGCTATCATCGTTACCGACTTTTGACGTCATGGACTTCCATGACGCAGTTGTTGTCTGTGCTCTTGTGATTGCACTAAGAAAGAAGAAAAGGAGGAAAAAGCGGCTTTGGGTTCACCCTTTGACCAGAGTCAGAGGAGGTTTTCAAATGGGCATTTTGTCAAACTGCATGAAGATTTGAGAGCATACCCTCCCAAGTTAAAAAGAAAAAACAACTATTATCATATGAGGTCATGTTTTAGGGGACAGTCTTCTTTTCAATAATAGAAATACATTGTTCAAATCCAAATTGGATTGCTATCTTTTTTCTTTTTTTGCGGAAGTGAAACAATGTATTGTGTGTAACATGCGGATAACTTTAGAACGACAGATGTACGCCATAGGCCGATATTTATAGTAACAGCCATCTTGTTTGACGTCATTAAGAGATTCCCACTTTGTTGTCGGTCACGGTGGCAACACGACAGCAAAGCGCAATTGCAGTATTTTTAAAGCCTGTAGCCTACAGTGGCGTGGTGGAGGAGTGGTTAGTGCTCTTGTCTCCCAAGCAGAAAGTCCAGGTTCGAGCCTTGGTTCGGCCACGGTTTTTTTTTCGCCCTCTCCTGCTCACCCACCTGTAATGGGTACCTGACTTCGAGTTGGGGAAGTAAAGGACTAATTTATAAAAATTAAAAAAATTATGTTTTTAAAATCCATCAAAGTCACGACATCGCATGCTCTTTCAGTTATCTTGCATATTTTTTTGAGAATTAAAAAAAAAAATTAGTCCTTTACTTCCCCAGCTCGATGTCAGGCACTCATTACAGGTGGGTGCCCAGGAGAGGGCGAGAAAAAAATCCGTGGCCGAACCGAGGCTCGAACCTGGACTTTCTGCTTTGGAGACATGCGCACTAACCACACGCTCTAAAGGCAGAGACTTTAAAAATACTGCAATAGTGCTTTGCGGTCGTGTCTCCACCCTGAACGAAAACAAAGTGGGAATCCTTCGATGACGTCAAACAAGATGGCTGTTACTATAAATGGCGTACAACTGTCGTTCTAAAGTTATCAGCATGTTTGTGAGTACCTCTGTCAAATAGGTCTCTGTGCATGCTTCGAGCAACTTCAGTTGCGCAGCCGTTTTCTCGCTCCAAAGTAAACATTGAAATAGATAAGCACTGCACTCACAGGCAACTCGGGTTTTTGGAGACTGAAAAGTTTGTGTTTTGTCACAACATTCCGGCAACGCAACTGTTGCTGAAATCTCCTGTGTTGCATACCCAACTGACACACAGCGGGCACAGGCAACCAAACTGTCTCCGGACTTGACAAGGCCGCGCCACTCCCAACATTTTTATAACTCGGCACAACAGAATTGACAGAGGTACACATAATACAATGTTTCACTTCCGCAAGAAAAGAAAATGTAGAGCGATCCAACTTTGATAAAAAGATTTTACTGACAGTTTTCCTCTGTAGAAATGCTGCTCCTCTAGTTGGTGTTTCGATACGTAATTGAGGGTCTCATGAGACGTACAAGTTCCTTAAAACTGCCCCGGGCTTATACGATAATAGTTTAAAAACTTGGGAATCTCCATGCAGCTTGTCAAAATGCCCTTTTAAAAACCTCTGACTGATAAAAGGGTGAACCCAAAACCGCTTTTTCCTTTTCCTCTTGCTAAGTGCAATCACAAGAACACAGACAACAACTGCGTCGTGAAAGTCCATTTTCATAAAAGAACAGGGGAAAAAAGCTTGCTCCGAGGAGTGGTCAGGCGTCTCTCAAACCAGCTCCTCATGGAGACAATTAGCAGGAAGACCCTGAGGTGGACGCTGGAAAGGAGAGATGAGCAGCTATGGACATGTGCCGCCTGCTATGATT